AACAACCACCAGAAGAAACTGGTGCTGCTATGGAGAATAATAGAGCCAACGAAGCTTCTGCAAAAAATTCTAATGTAGATAAATCTAAAGATTCAGAAAATAAATCATCCGAGGCTCCAAAAGATGTACCAAATCCTTGCGATGGAGAAAGCGGCTCGAAGAAAAATCAGTCTACACTCTCAAAAGTTCGCTCTGAGGGTAAAATTGCCGCTTTACCATCCAAGGACCCTGTTAAGTCAGCTACAGCAATCCTAAAAAACAAAAAATTGGTTTTAGGCGTCATCCCTTCAGTGACGCCTTTTGGCAGCCCGCAGGCAGAAAAATCAAGTGTTACGGGAACAACTAGTTCTAAAGGACCAGCCATTGTGTCATATAAACCTCTTCCGGCAAGCTTGGCCTCCATCCGAGACACATATACTTTCGACGATGCCAAGGACGACGAAGAAGAAAGCAATAATAATGAAAGCATTAATCTCTTGAAGGAACGTGCTGTTGTGGCTGTTACACGCACGTCAGCTTTGACTACTGGAGGCACGGTAGCTACTGTGCAAATGAGCTCAAGCATGGAGAGAAGCACAGCCGCTACACTTGCACGCCTCAATAGCAGAGTAGCCTCTGCAAACCTCTCAATGAATGGCCTGATGACTGATCACGCCAACAGTTCATCCGAACAATCATCGGGTGCCATCCTTGCCCCGCCTCAGGAGGACGTTGCTCACCTCAACAAGTATCCTATACTTGCATCGAGCCTCGGTAATGGTCGTCGAGTATCCGAAACAAAGAACTTGGTGAGCATTGCAAAGGACGAAAACGGTGTGTCTTCTACGGATTCAACCAAGGAAGCTGTTACTAACTCCACACATGTGAAAGATAGGCGTGAAAAGTCTAGTATTGTTAAGGAACCCATTGCTGTGAATAATGGGCATTTGAATAAGATTCTTGTTGGGGAAATATCTGGCAAAAAAGCAGTGTATTCAGAAGACGGTACCGAAGTTTTGATGTACCTGACTCCTGAAGAAGGCGGGTGCTCGCCAGCTGATCGAGAGGACAACGATTCTCCAGATATGTATGGCGATGCGGATTTAGCACCTGCTGAACGACTCTCTGACGAGGACGAGGGTGTGTTCGGCCGTCCGCTGAAAGGCAGTGAAGGCTCAATGGACTCCAATAGCACGATTTCAGTGGGCACAGAGGAACAGACCGTTCCTCCTTCGACACATACGAGCAGAAACTCACTATCCAGTACTGACAGTTCGACCGCCGATTGTGCTACTACCAACGACCGTAACAGTCCTTCGTCCCGGCCTTCCGAACGAGTTACTTCTTTCGGTCGTTCGATAAATACACCCAAACGTTTCAGAGATCTTGCTGACCCTGAAGAAACAAAGAAAAAGAAGACCAAAGCTCAAAATTCAGGACATCGGTAGCAGTTAGCACCCCTAGGCAATTATTTATATAATTCTACAAATACTTTTGTTGACGGTCTTTCGTCTTCATCCTGTTCTTCAGATATCGGTGTAGGGTCTCATTTTGTGTCAAATGTGTTGTCTTCCAATTCGATGATGCGCACCAGTTCTTGCAAGTTAGTAACGTGTTCCAGTGACGCAATGAACTCTGCTAACATTTCAACACTTGCTTCAAAATCGTTGTCGGATTCACTTGGACCAAACTCTGTAAAATTCTCTCACGTGGAGGTTGAACTCGCTTCTATTAACAAGTCTGATACAGCTGGAAGTCCGGTGTCGACGGATGCCTCATGTAATATTGATTTGGAATTGTCTACCAATCCACACAGCTCGCCAAGTTTGCAGAATCACTCCACTAGTGCGTCGATTGGCAGGTCTATTGGTGCCGCTTCGACGGCTGACTGCGTTTTATCAAGTGGTCAGGTTGCGAGCTCAAATTCAGTTGCTAAAGAGAACAGTTCACTTGCGACTGTATCCTCTGTGCAACTCTCCTCGCACACCCCTTCTAATGTCTTCGTTAACCATCAAGGTGTACTATATATTCCTGGACTTGTGTACATATCTAAATAAACTAGACTTCACGAACTCAGCCAGACATGGATTTGAAACCATTTTTATTTATCCAAAAAGTGGTTGAAGTTACTTGTCGATTGTGATATTGTTGTAAGTATTTTCATTCGTTATAAATCAGTGATCATGAATAAGACAGCCGGAGTCACCGTATTCAGGGACTTGGAAACTGAAGCCGATCTACTAAGTTATCTGTTTGTTTTTTTCTTTGAAGGAAGAAATGTCTTGTTTAAATTTTTCAATGCCTGCCGAACTAGAATTTATCACCCAATGCAAGTGTAAGATAGCTTGCTAATAAAAGTTCAAAAAGAAAAGTCCAGTAGATTTGAACCTTCTTTGGTATAAGAGTGATTTTTAATAATGATGCTGCATGGAAGTTTAATTCGCAAATAACCTTCAACTTTTTCCAATGTAGTAAGTATAATCGTGAAGTTATTCTCCTTGTTTTTGGTATTCAGTATGCGGGATTTCCACGTTAATTTTGGAACTTCTTTGAAGTTTTCTATTTGTAATTTATTGGTAAATTGTCCAAAAATTGTCACGTTTCCTGTGAATATTAGCCGGCTTCCTCGGTCCTATAGTTGGGATAAAACATAATGGTGCAGCATGAGGCCTAGGACTGGATTGAAGTGTGAGGCTACGGTTATTTAGGTTATTATCGATTTTACTTGCCGGCTGGCGTTCCCGTTAGGGAATTAGCTAAGATTGAAGACGCTGTCCGGCAGCATCATCGTGACGAGAATTCGTTATCGAATATTGACCAAGCACAGTTTCCGTGCTAAGGAAAATTATAACAATTTTTCCAGGATATCTTCCTCATTTTATTGTCCTACAGATGCAAGTTCTGTTATTCTAGCGCGGTCGATAGTTCTTTTGTAGAAATTGTTTCGTCAATTTGTTCTCACCTCCAAACTATGCGAAATTTTCGACAGTTGAAGGCTTAAAATTACCTTCTATATTTAAAGATAACTATTGGTTGAGCTTGTTTCTGAACCACAACATGCGAAAGAATTTGTGACCCTTATGACTGCGAGAAAGCTAGTTTCTGATTCACATGCCATTACCGTTTCTCAGTTGAAGACAAATTGTAATTACTACTTTTCAACTGCTCATCCGAATTGAAATAATAAGTACATAACTTCTCATTTGACTCCTTGGCTCATTAAGTTAATAATGAGAAGGAATCAATTTTAATGTCTTGAATACTAAGCTCTAATTTCATTCCGCTAAGGAATGAACAAGAGTAACTTACTCTAGAAAAGTCGCAGGAGACTTGCTTGCGATTTGGTCCCGATTCTGCATTTTTTCAGTCGCTTTTATAACGAAGTAATGGATTTCAATTCTGAATTTTCCTTGTCTCTTCCTTATTAATCTATAGTAATCGTCTCAAATTTCCTGGAAATTGAAAATTCTTTAATTTACATAATAATTACAGCTGTTGGATATGTTCAGAGACGGCGATGAAGAACTCTGTGATTATGGAGTAATAGCAGCCCGATCGTCCACTTTCGCAGCTTGATTCTTAGTATCGAGATGCGTGAGCGAAACCGTGTGCTTGTGACGCAAGATGTCACCAAGACCAACCGAGTTCTGTCGAGACAGTTTAGCAGACGGCGGAGGCCGGTAGCGAGCTGCGGAGTTAGGTACGCCCCTCACTGGCGGTGGCGATGGCCCACTTCCCGAGGTATCCGAGCCAGCACTGAAATTGCCGACCTCTTTCTGCAGCTTCCTCCTCTCTTTGGGGGGATATTTTTCAATTAGTGAGAATTGATCAGTAGCGCTTGATCTTCTTCGCACATAAGCTGCTGAGGTGCCACTCGTGGTAGGAGCGCTATGCTCAGTGACGTCGCTTATTTTGCTCGCATCACTGGTTGTAGTTAGGCAACTCACGTCAGTGATGTTGCTCGTATTACTGTCTTTTCTATCTGCATCAGTGTTCTTATCCTCAGCTTGCTTCTGAAACTCTGCCCTGGATCCGACAGCTATCGAGCCAACCAATTGTGGTGATGCTGCCTTCGCTCCACACGAGCATTTACGGTCGACTGGGACTTCCGTTGACATTTCTTCATGACATTCTTCTGGTGTTGACGACAATGTAGAACGTTGCGCTATACCAATAGCGTTCGGAGTATGATCATCAATACTGAGTTGTTCTACTTGACGTGCTGCAAATTCAACCGGACACACTGCATTTTGTGTTTGTTGATTGCTGAAAAAGCTGTTATTCGGCTGAGATGCGAACGAAGAAGTGTTTTCATGTTTTCGACAGAGGCATTCTAGATCACAGTCCTGACTTTCGTCTCCATAATGATCATTATATTCATCACAGGAACACCGAACCTCATGCAATTCAAGATTGTAGGTTGTTTTCCTCGTCAGGCCGTGCGCTGGGCACTGAACGCCGTGCAATGTATTGGATGGCATGTTGGCTCTGTTGAGTCGATTGTACAGTATTTGGGAGTTGTCTATACGCATGGAGTTAACTGCCTGATCCAAGGAGAGCTGCAATACTCCAGGTGCTGCGGCTGACTTAGAAAGTCGAGTCGGTGAGTGATGGTCATTACCAGACATGGGAGACGTAGAGGAGAGAGGCTCTGGTGAAGATAATATCATGTAAGTCTGACTGTCTTCCTCTTGACTGCGGCTCCACCACTGACTGTGCCAGCTGTGACCCACCTAGAGAAAAAAGTAAAATTGTCTAATGTTGATTATATGAATACATCTGCTGGGAATCACGAAAGTTGCCAGATTTGCAACATTATTAACAATGAACGAAATTAATTTTTAAAATCCACTTCTCAATTCCAGAACTGTTTTCATAATTATGACGCACAACCAGATGCGTTACCTGACGTGTTGTCGCTCCTTCTTGGTGGTATTTATCGTGATTAAAGCGTTTCTCCTTGGAGGATTCGGACATTGCCATTCCACGCTGCTGTTCGCCGCTAATTGGCGGCAACATTCGTCCCGATTTGGTTCTGAGAAATCGCGCCATCGCAAATAAATTGGTATTGAAACATTTCTATGATCGTTATTGCATATATTAATGTGCTACGCTGACGTTCATCCCTTAAGAAAAATAAAAAATATATCTTGTGGAAAAAAAACATATTTTCAAGGAAATCACTTACCTCGTTACTGTTCCTCGACCCTCTGCGTCAGACTGCACCACGGAACAGCCGCCGGCCTCCTGGTCCGTGCATGACCCATCTTTGGTTGATGCGTTCATTGCTCGTCCTCCTGGATGCGCCGAGAGCGAAGTAGATCGCGATGAAGCAGATGACATGTGCATGGAAGAGAATCCAGTCGTAGATGACGTAGACAAGTTTGAAGTAGAACCGCGAGCGCCTTTGCTGTTCAGAGCTGACATAGCACGACTGCGGTAGTGCTGAACTGCCGCCAACTCCTTGTCGCGCTCCTGAAAACGTATATGATATCACGGGATGGTAAATACGCAGAGGGATGGTATCGAGTTAGAGCGTATGAAAAGTTTCCCTGATAAATAAAAAAAATCGACCTTTTTTCATTTTTACCTGCAGAGTTTTTTGCAGCGCTCTGTGGTCCCGCCGCAGTGCCTGAAGCCGCCTGGTCGTGGCGCGGTGTCGACCTTCTTCTGCCGACACCTGTTGACGACTGCTCTTCTCGACCAATGCTAGTCGCTTTTGAAGGCTCTGTAACCGACGATATGAAAATGAGTAGAAGCTAATCCAACGATGACGATAAAGTCATTGAACTTTTTTTACTCGGAAAGGCTCAAAGTATCATAAATGGAAACAAAATGGGGACATGAACCTTGGTTGGTCAGTTAACAAAATTAAGAAATAATACGTATTGGAGAAAGAACATTTTATTGACGAAAAAAAGAGCTATTTTGAGCCATCTATGCTCTTTAAACACTATTAACTTTTGGCGGGGGTCAGCATTGGGGGAGGCCGTGGAGGCGAAGGGGGAGGCCGGGGGGGTGAGAGGGGGCGGGGTCTGGGTGGACTCGGGTCAGGCCGTCTGCACGTAGGGCAGATCTGGGGAGGCCGTGGAGGCGAAGGGGGAGGCCGGGGGCGAGGGGGAGGGGGGTCTACTGGGATCGGGTCAGACCGTCTGCACATAGGGCAGATCCAGTCTTCGGAGTAGAGATTAATGGAGCGCAGTCAGGAGCATCGCTTGTGGTTAGTTTTTTGTTAATATGAAAGTTAAAATTCTCAATTACTTACATCAACTTCTTGTTGTTTTTCTGCGAGAGAGCACTGAGTGGCGCACAGTTTCCGGTTGAGTTCCTCACGTTCAGGCAGGTTGCGTTTCTTCGTCAGCTCCTTCAATCGCGTTGTCTCTTCACTCGTCTTGAAGAGCCGCTCTTCTTGCTGACGAAGCTTTGATGTATCGCGACGATGTGCCTCAGTTAACTGTAACAGCCAATGAGTACACAATAATTTTAAACGCGAAATGCGAAAGCGATCCGATTATGTATGTTGTCATAAAGAATTATTCATGTCAACATCAAATTACGGTCGTCAAAATCATGTTACACGGTCGTCAACATCAAATTACGGTCGTCAAGTCATAGTTACATTTCGTTTTAATTGTAACTATTTAGTAGGCTTTGTATTTCGTAGAATGAATTAACCCTCTGTAACGGAAACATTACCCGTCGTTACATCTTAATCCGCAGTAACTACAGTAACTAGAGTTATTTCCTGGGAGAAAAGGGTTAAGAAAATTTCAGTAGTTCTCCACGTATATTAGAAATTTACATACCTTGCGAAGTCTGTCCTGTAGCACGAGGATCTCCATCTTGTGTGCTTCGAGCAGATGCGGCAGCTCGGACCTTGCTTCGTGGAACTTGCGTAGCTCGGCCTCCTGGCGCTTGCACAGGCGCACGAGTAGCCTGTTCTTGTCCTCCAGTTCCTGGCAAGCAAGAGATTTTCGTGACTTTATTTGATTCGATTGGTGAGAAGTGCCGTCACGCGACTGATGTTATCTATTACCATGGTGCCAAATTTCCTGTTTTACATGGAATTAACCACGAGTGCATTATTTAAGTTGTTTTGATGAAATTAATGTATTCTTGTTAAAAATTAGATGAATCAGTTCGTTTACTTGAAGTATATACAAGCAAGAAATACATAGATGAGACGGTCTTTTTAATCTACCGTAACAATCCTGTACCAATACTTTAATACGCACCGAATTCAGTGGAACCTCAAAAGTCTAAGTTCATCCGTTCTGAGGGGAGCATCATATTCAGAATTGGTCCACCTCGTAATAAAATTGCCTAAGAACGCACAAAATCACGTATAATCCATAAAAATGGAGGATAATGCTGGGCTATACTATTCTTGGCTTCTTTACCGGAGGCTAGATGGTGCAATTCAAAGAAAATGTTATGGACTTGACTGGATTGCATGCTGATAAAGTAATAGACGTAGACGTGTCCCTTCGACCATAAACATAGCTTCCCATTTATTGGAAGCTAACGCTTATGGTCGAAGGGACATTACATGCGGTGCTGGGCAGTGTTGTCTCCGACAGACTAGAGCCATACGCACCCCCCTCAGACTAACATTTTACGCGTCGCCCTTACAATAATACCAAATGCAACTTGTTGCTGGAGATCTAGCACGTTACCTTGAAGGCATCGCCATCTGACCATGTATTAGACAAATTTTAAACAACACTCACGATGCACGTAAGTCGTTGCTACCGCGACCACGATCGGAACACTTGACCAAGGTAACATATCTCAAAACGGATACCCGATCAGGAAGCAAAAAATGTGAACCTGTATCGTTGGACATTTAAATGGATCAATGTCGATGAGTCATGATGATAATCGAGTCAACACGATCGTTTCTTCGATCCGTCGCACATAGATCACGTTTTTTTAAAGCGTCTGAAAGCCTCCTCCCATTACCGGTATCATCACACACAGTATCAGTTCTCAAGGCAAAACGTCAAAACGGCACCAGCAGGAATAGCCTTCAGAGTAGAACCTATTCTTAAGCACTCGGCTTGTTCATCCAAGTTTGATGAACGTTTATCGTACTGACAATCGAATATAGAACAAATCCCAAATGCATTACCGGTAAAGGTTATTTAAATTATTAAACGGCAAAACTTAAAAATGAGGTTTGATATAAAGCGCCTGCATCACTTACATCTTTTTCAAGTACCAGTTAATTTTGTTTCAAATCAATTACAGAAAATTGACATTATCATACTACTACTCAAATTGTTTGCTGTGGCATGCGACTGGGAGCGAAAACATTGACATTGATTCCCTGGAGCGGTCTGTGGCGTGTGTGATGGGACAAGTTTTGGAATGTTATGTGAGACGTCCGCGTTAATGTCCCACCAGAAAAAGTGTCATAGGTTTTATATGAGAGTATAGAAGAGATTAAAATATTAAGGAGCCTGCTGAAAAGCAGGCTAGGTTGTTTTATTCTTAATCAACGCACTTCTGTGTCTAATATGACAGCATATGTTAAAAAAAATTAGGAGATAAATGAACCTATATCTTCTCCTTGACAGAATATATAGGTACTATTATTCTTCATAATTCTCGCCAGAATTCACCGTGGAAATATGAAATAAAAGGGAAGTAAGTCCATCGACTGCACTTGGACGTGGGCGCCGCCGCCCTGACGGCCTTGGGAATGTCACCTCAGGTGACCCACGAGCCTCGTGGGAAATTCACCGGCTGCGGTTTTGCAAAATGTATCCGGAAATGGCAGATTTTTTTTGAAGACATTGAGCGAAGTCTCGAAATAAGTTGAGCTACAAAAATTTCAACAAAATGACTGCTAGATTTTACCTGTAATAGTATGGTCTCGCTCCAAATGAAATTTTTGTATGTTTATTTATGGCTTGCAAATTTTCCATCACAGGTTGCAACTAAATTCCTTGTCTTCTAAAAAATCCGGACTAATAATAAAGTTTAAAGCGTTCATAACTTATCGTTCTAACAATATGATAAGTGGCACTAAAAATACCATTCGTGCCGTGCGGCGTGCACTGCCTAGAGCAAAGCGAGAAGATTGAACATGAGGCAAGTGTCACGGCACCAGAGGCAGACTAGCCAGGTTGATTGACAGGTGAAATACAGGTTGCTGTGCCTGAGCACCTGAGCCATCAGCAGGTAATTTCAATTATGCCATCTCCAAGTAAAAAATTTGCTGCGACAATAAAATCTCTGCGTTTTGGAGCTAGAAAAACTTCTAAGGTGAATTGGCATCTAGTCAAACAACACCACAAGCTACGCCTATATAAATGTAGTACGTCTGTTAAGGTAACTAGACGCGTCAATGTGGCAGCTTGTATGATCTCTTGAAATTCAAACAGATATTAGCCACTTATTAGAATTATCATTATACAATTATTAAAATTATAAAAAGGAGTGACAATTGATCAATTGGATTTGGAAGAATTATGCTGGTGTTTACGGATCGAGATGAAGAGTTGCAAGCCTATAACATTATAACGGTAATAACGGTGACCGCTTACACAAATTACAAAATATTGAATACTTGGTTACCAATTACCAATTTACTGCCAATAACTGTTGAGAATGTAAGGACCTCTTTTTGCTTTGACCCACTTACAGAATAAAATAATTGGCTAATCGAATACTGTTTCATCATGGCATGTGAAGACTTGATTAAAGGGTATATGAACTCTCGCAAAACTATCCGTGAAAGCCTAAGTATGACCGAGTTAAAGTCCAAGAGATCGTTCACATTCTTCTTGAAATAACTTCGTGCTAAAGGTTCATCAATTAGCGTTTGTGTTCTTAGAGGTTGGTTTGTATTGGGGTCATTGACCTGAGTGGATGGCACCGTGGGCTCAACCATCACACACCTGCCTGCATCGATTCCAAGACCACGTAAAGCGAGGCCAGAAGACGTTGTTCTGCGGAGCCTACGTACGCGCTCTACCTTTTAGATCGAACCATGAGTGCTCATCGCAAAGCTTTGAGCGGAATGACAGCTGCGCTATTAATACTTGCTTAACAAGATTTGTTATCGTTCCCTTCAAAGTCAGTATTGAGACGCATGAGAATGAAGCTGTTGGACGAACTGTAAAAATTGCATCACATGAATTGATAAATTGAAAATAGCATGTATCAGTTAAATAATTTAATTTTTACTTACATTTTCACCGTTTATTGAAGCATTTTTTGTTAATTCGTGAACACGGATGACGTTAAATGGACATGGCCAGGTTCGTACGCAGACAACGATGAATTACTGCACAGTAAACATCGTTCAAGTGCAGGGCGTCGGTCGATGGAACAATAATAGCGTTCGTTCTCACCAGAGCGTAAGCTAGAACCGAGCGCATCGATTGCTTTCCGTGTGCAAGTGATGAACTTACATCGAAAAATTCTCCTGTTTACTACTGAGACACGCTCAACAAATGACTATCATAGTGCAAAACGCTATTAATGCATGAGTGCATGAGACAAGGCACAACACCATTTGCTTCATAAGACCTCTAAGAAAAATTGAGCTTGGAAATTCTAAAATTGTTATAAAATGATAGATTTTATTCATACATACCATTTGACAAGCGGCCAAGAATTTAAAAGCGAATTGCCAAATAAAGTCACCATATCTTTATTGAAAACCTTTCAGAGACCAGCTCCTACATAAATTTAAAATATTTATGGAGTGAAAGTACAATCAGAAGAGATTTATTTCTCATCAGATTGTACGTACTTGTATTCTATAATGCTTTTGATCTAATGATGGGACTTATCACTGAAACGTTTTCAATAAAGACATAGTGACTTTACCTGGCGTTTTCTTTGTTTTAAAATTCTTTGTGATCTTGCGTTGTAGGCCGACTAATAAAACCTGTTTTTAAATAAAGAACAAACGATTTTGAACTGAAATTGCATGCACTGGACCTTAAATTGATTTAATCTGTCAGGCCACCGGAATTTTAAAGAAAGCATTACAGTTGAACGCATGTGAGCTGCTCGCTATTTGCAGTTATTGTCCAACTTTAGGGAGAAACAAGAGGTTCAATTTATATAAAATAACTCTCACTCAGCCGTAAAAGGTGAACGCTTCAACTGTCGGTCACTATATTATTCTACTACAGAAAGTTCCAGCTTTTTATTTAATATGTAAAAATTAATGGTTTAATATTACCATAAAAATTTCATCAGTATGAGCTTCTTTAAACTAAATTCATTTGAACTATTCTGATGAAATTGCACGATAAGTCTAACTTATGGTGAACTATATCGGCCATATATCTGTGATATTTCTCCAACCATTCATTTACAATTTTTCTGATTATAAGATAAACAGTCGCTGTACTGAAGTTTCGAAGGAGAAATGTTATTCCTTGTTGCGAGTTTTAATAATAATTGGCGTGTTGCCGGTTGATCTTACCCCAATAATGGTTATGTTACAGACAAACCAAGAGGTCAGTGCCCCAGCTTTCCCGAAAGACCCGTCGACCAATGACCCCTACGGACTTGGGCTGATAGCAGATGTCGACTCTGATAACGGACGCCCGTTTACATTAGTCTGATGACTGAGTATACAAAACAAAAATGCTGACTGAGTCACTGGTGTGTTTTGCTTGACACGTAAAAGCTCATGTGATCAGGCGAAAAAAGACGACGCATTCGCTGCGACTGCAAAAATGCGGCACTCGAGTAATGGTTCTCCGCAACGCCATGGCAGAGCTGCACGCTATAGAGGGTTCAATGATGTCGCTAATGTTTTCGCCATGCCTATGGTTTTTTAGAGTCTTGCACTCGCTTGACGGGCTAGCATGTCTTTCACGAGTAAGAGTAAGAAAAACGTGTTTAATCTACTCATTTACTTTAAGCTTCCAAAGAAATTTGTATTCAACATTCTCATTATTTAATTATTCATTCCTGAACAAAATTCACAAACTACTTATAATATACGATAGAAAATTATCTGACTCATGTAAGCATTTGCCATTTCCTTCTAATTTAGCTCCCACCATCCACGTTCACTTTTTGATCCAATGCAATTGGATTGATGTCACATTATCACACTCCTTATTGGCAGGTAAGGAATTATTTCTTAACCCACGCACATATTTCCATCTCTGTATAATAAAAGAGTCATCTAAAAAATGCTAAATATTGGCTTTCCATCCACATAAATGTAAGCGGCAACGACGCGAAGTGCGTGCTGATTATGAGCGCGGGCGCCGGCCCTGCCTTCCTGTACACATGTTCAGCGCAAGATAACTTAGATAAGACGCCCGATGACGCGATAAGCCTCGCCGGCGGTCTTAGAACTTACTTCCTAAAAATTACGGCCTATTGCATAAAGTTATACTCATCACGAGTGTTTTCAGAGTGAGTTTTTTTGGGGAATGCGGCCCTCTCTCGTGAAAAGTTCAGTTAAAATTTCGTTCGTGTAACAAATCTTGCACCTGCACTCGAGCGAATATATTTCGAAGGTACAGGTCTATTTGCCGTTAAATTTTGAACAATACTGAAATTTTCTTATTTTTCACCCATAATTTAAGAACTTAACTTATCCCGCGAGCAATGAGTTTTCAGTGAACTGGAATTACATGATTGATTATGAACTACTGTTCATAAATACTTGAGTAACTTCCAGACGCAGAGTTTGATTCATCGGACTTTGATAGTTGAAAAGTTTATGGAATAACGAGTGGAGCGAGACCCTGACCTGAATACCACTCATGTGCAGGAGGTCACTAGAGACTAAGGCAAGAAGTGACTGGTATAATCAATCATCAGGCGAATGAATGATTGATTGATCATTTAAACAAGGGATAATTTTAATAAAATTGGGAAGGTTAAACCTGTATACAAAAAACATCGTAAAGTCATTTAAGAGTCAACGGAGAGTTTCCTGCTTTGGCTTCAAATAATAAAGTTGACTGTAAATACTCTGGCTCGGTGCATAGGTTGATGGTATTTAGTTCTGTTCAAAAATGCAATAAAAAAGTAATGCATAAAGCAAATGTGTCTTGCTTACATACAGTTTAGATTAATTCTTGTTCCGTGTAATTATTTGAAAATCACAGAGAAGATTAATTTGCATAATGCAATGAATATATAACAAACAGAATATAGTTATCGTAAGCATGAATTTTCTAATTATGGAAACAATTTTGCCCTACGTGTCCAAAAGCCGTTAAAATTAGTTGATGACATCAACAATGTTTTTCGTCACCCAAAATCGAAAAATTTTCCATGGCGGAAGCACAGCTAGAACGAGTGTAGCATGGCTCCCATCAAGGGCAGCATAAGGGCCGTTGTCATCACCTCTGCCAATAAAGATCCACTGCGCCTGCGCCGGAAGCTTCGTCGAGCTCCATCAGACCGCGCATGTGATGCGCATGCGCAAGCGTGCCGAGACTTTATTAACGCGTTCGGCGAACGTCATATTTTCCGATCATTTGCTGTGCATTTTTTTTATTGTACGGTGCATGATTCTCTACAACCTCCTAACTGTACCCTTGGTACGAAACAAAATTTATCGTAAATGAATGCTATTTCTTCGCAAAATAATAAGATATAAAATTATTATACTGCATCGGATCGACAGAACCCGCAAGCAAGTTCCGCAATGTTTGTAGCTAATTGACGCGGTATAGGCGCATTCAATAATATACTTTTGTAGATTGCTCAGGTACCGCACACTAGAAGAAGTAGAGTAGCGCCAAGAAATTAACATTAGTCAACCAATGTGCATATTCGTTGCGCGTTAATATGCATTTAATGCTGAATCTGCATTGGAGCTTGTCGATCTTTGCAGGTTAATGCTGTCGTGTTTATTGATGACCATGAGACATCTACGCAAGGATCTCGTTTGGTTTGTGTACAATATATGAATGTGTGTACAACTACACAGGGATCTCGTCTGGCGTATATGCAATGTATGAACGAGTGAAATGTGGAGCCAAACGCCCGTAAGTAGGTTACTTCTGGTCGATAGCTCACTGAGCACTTGTGCGCACTGCGTGTGCCAGTGATCTGAATGCGGACCAAATCTCCACTGTGAACTAATCGAACCAACAGTGTACAACTTCTTAGCAAACTTCATTCTGGACAACTTTATTAACTATCAGTACGCTTTTGTCTCAAGTTCTTGCAAGCAAAAAGCAAAAGTTTTTATAATAGAAAATTTTCATTGTTGATTAAATCGACTGGGGCGTAATTTACAAATGTATACGTTAAATGGTATGATAATTAAGGGCTGTTGAATTCCGAGAGAAGTTTGTGATTAAATTATATTAAATAATCCTTCAAACACGTTTGTGATAAGTATCTACTGCCAAGTTTGTTTAAATCACAAATAATAATGAATTTAATTAAGAATAATTTAATAATAAGCCAAGAAAATTCACTGTATTTTCATTGAAAGCGTTGTCAATAAAAAACTGACTTATTTACTCAATTCTCAAATTATTTGTCTGCGATGAGATTGCTCGCTATCCTAAGGAATATAACAACATGAAAAGAACCGGGATTCGTTCTGTGGTGCAACGGTTTCTAGAACCGATATTGAATATATCCCTATTTGTGGCCTTTCTCATTAAATGTCTTCATTAAAGCAAAAAAGCTCTTCATTAAAGCAAAATCAAACCAGCATTTGAATAATTCAGTCGAAATTATAACTGTATTAACTTTGAACTCGAACTACTGTCAGAAACTAGTTACAAATAGATTATGATGCAGCAACTTGCTTTTCTACATCGAAGCATCGTCTACTCTTTGGAAATTACGAACTGACAAAAAACACAAACCAATAAATTTCATTCGAAATATTTATTTATAAATGTATTTTCATTTTACTCACTTGTTTTATTTTCCAGGGCCTGATCTACGACCTGAAACTACGGCAGCAACCACTTATCAGCTTCTTCAAAATATATACGTGCATTTTTAGTACATATTTGCACAGTTACTGACCTTGATCTTTTTTTGGAGGCAGACTGCGTCGTTGCTGAGCTCCTGAATGTGGTTGCGCTTGGCAGACAAGAGTCTGTACATGTGGGCGCCGTCGTCCCTCTTGCTGAGATGGAGCGACGTCTCCACCAGCGTCTTGGTCGAGTTACGCCGCGCCGACGCACTGGCCGCGCTCCAGCCGCTGCTCGAGCCGCAGCGCGGCGACCTCAGCACTGAGGGTAGAGTGCGGATAAATGAAACCCTTGACTTGCGAAATATTTATAATAGACGAGATCACTTTCAGCGGAGATTGAATTATATGTTTATCTAATTAATCGATGATCCATGTGTACATAGTAGTTGGCTATCAGAATTTAATTATTTAAATATTTTTTCTAAATATTCTCGCCTGAGGAGGGAGATCGCAAAATTTATGAGCCTCATTAAAAATTTTATATGATGGGGCCATTTTGATTTGAAAACTACGATGGGTTTTTGTATGCACGAGCGGCGTCGACGGAGTCTGTGGAAATACGGAGTCTACGGTTCTTGCATCGAACATTTGCAAAGAGTTTTATGAAGGGTTATGAATTGTAATTAAATTCTGTACATTTAAGAAAAACTTTTCAGCAGTCTGCATTATAGTATTACATTATAGAGTGAAATTTAACGCGTGATTTTTTCACCTTAAAATTAGCATGTAAAAATCATGAGCCAAATCAATTATGACTAAATTCTTGGCGTGGTACCTCTTTGTATGCCAGGGCCCAGCTTGGTGCGAGAGCTGATTCTGCTTCTGCTGGACCTGCCCGACAGTCCGAAGTTGATGCCCAATTCCTGCAGGTAGACTGCAGCGTCATCGTCATCATGACATACATTAGCTTCATCTTCAAATGCTGCCAGCGCTCTTTCCAGTTCCTCATCCGACATGTTGCCTACGTCAGTTTTGGCTAGAATAGAGAGTGAAACATTCTCTTGGGGTTCTTTGATGTGTCGTGGAGCCTTTGCATTGTGGTCGAATGTTGCGGCTGCCTCAACTTGAAGTTCGTTTGAGTCATTTTGCGGCTCTAGTGAACATGCAGAGGTTTTTTCGTAGCCGGAGAACTGTTTGGTGGTTTTATTGGCATTACTGACGGTGCCGCATTTTATGATGGTGTCTTCAGAAGTCAAAGAAGGTTCGGATGTTTTTGTCATCGAAGCGCGCGGACTTGATAGCTCGTTTTCTTGTAACTGCAGTACGCTTTTTTCTGTTTGCTCATCCTGAACAGAATATTCTTTGTCTTGGATTTCAACAGCATCGACAGTAGTTTTCTGTACATTGGGTGGGAGTTTCAAGGGAGGTATGGACACATCAATAGAAGGAGTGTTGACTTTAGGTTTAGAGGAGCTGGATGCTTTCGCCATGGTGGAGCCCATGAGTAGAGAGCTAAACGCAGGACTGGATGAACTGGAGTTTGCTTTCGGCATTGTGTGCGACCTTGCGGCTGAGGCGTGATCACTGAAATTTGTGGAAACTCTCTATTACAACGAGGGTAAATAATGTAACATTTAACATCTCACATAATTATTAAATTATAGAATATTCTTACACAATAACATAAAATGTCCTTGAAAACCTAGCCATCATAAATAAATATTAAGCTGAATTATTTCTCCCGAATACTTTAAGCGATACAAAATGTGCGGAATGTGAATCGTAAAATCATTCTAAAAACTTTATTCCCCAAATTTGTTTTTCTGCTTTAAATACTACTACTTTTATCTCGGCCCTATTAGCAAGCAGCGACAGTCAGACATCATCTCATCTCAACTCTGAAATACGTTTGGTGTGAAAGAAAAATGTATTTTTATTTCCTATAGCTGTGAAAGTAATCAGTCAATACGTTCAAAAATAGGGTTAAATACGACAGGCCAGATTTGAGGGCACGCCACTGAACTTCACTCATTCAGAACAAAGACTCGCGTGTTGTTGCACGGCATGTGTGTCTTCGATTGCACGTTGACCTACTAACTGCTGTGGAGCTCTCGTTACTGCTGGGGCACCACTGGGGGAGGGGGACTAGGAAGGGGTTATGCTACGTAGCTAGCAATGGCCAATAATGAATGAAAAATAAAATTAAATCTATACTCTGATAGAAAAATTGTAATTTTCAATTTTATTTGAGAAAATAAACCATATTGACGACCCGTGCGCTTTTTCGCTCATTTTCGAATACGAAGTTCATAAGATTCTTTCTAAAACAATGAAACATATATTACGCACAGGATATCTGTTCAGCGTTACTTGATAATTCATTATTACTGAAAATAAAGGAAGAAATGACTATGTTAATGTTTAGTTGATATGAGAAATTACAATCTTCCCTTATTTTCAAGACAGATCGAACAAAGATGGTACAGATGAACCGGCAAGCAGGCAAACAGAAACTAAATGAAACTGAATGTGGGCTGTGTAAGGAAGAGAATGAATGAGCATTCAATTTTGCTATCTATAACAAATGCTAAAAAAATCAATTACAGCGCAAGACTGAAGTTTGTTGGCGATAAGTTCGAATGGGAGGCCCAATGGGGGCAGGGTGGCCCAGTGGTTACAGTTCAGAGTACCAAGATTGGAGCAGAGAGGCGCGGGTTCGATCCCAGCTCTGTGCGCCAGTTTCTGGTCAGAATCGGCAAGGAGGCCGGGCGGTTAAGCAAAGCAAAATGGAAGCAGTGAGTTGCGAGTTCGAGACCGCAACAAGCTGTGAATGTTCTGCGATGTTAAGAATCTGCGACAGGCCTACGGCCTACTAAACACTGAAACCGCTATTATTATTATATTATTATATAGTGAAGTGAGAATATTGCGGTACACGACGCATTATTGAACATCTAATGCTCTGGTTTCCAGATTATATGCGGGCTCGATCCGACGCACTGCCGCGGTCTCTAGTGGACCTTTCCAAACAATCGCAGTGTGCGATCTAAGTAATCGCAGTCAATGCATCAAGATACATGTTGAAATCTTTGTACTTACCCCTAGTGAGCTCCTTTTTACGTCTCTATTTACTCTTTTACATATATTTACGTGAGTAGATTTTTAACACATACAGGTCACCATTAATTGTTCAATAACTGCTTGGCTTGCCACGAAGGAATAGAAACTACAGGCAGCTGGCTAAGATTGCTGCTGGACCTAAGATTGCTGGGGCATTCCGCCTTCATTTTCATACGAACTAAGCTCAGTGAACGCTACGGGTTGATCGATCACAATAAACTCATTCCATAATTAATATTGGTGGCAATTGTCAAATGTTCAATTATAATATTGTTGAAATAATATTTCTTTCCTAATAATTGAAATAAACTTTTCGTGTACCGCATTCGTTGTCTCTCGCCCAATCAAATTAAGAACTTTAATATAAAATAAGTTAACACTATTCCTTGTCTTAACTTGCAGCTCAGCGCCAAACTATATCACCGATGTAAATAGCATGACTCCTTCTCACCCTGAGTGGGGGGCGGTGACGGGGGTCCCTGCATGGCCGGACATGGGGGGACGCACCCCCTCCAGCCAACCCCCCAACCTGCCATGTAAATAATAAGGTCACCGCAAGCACTTGCCCTTATATTATGCAAGTGGGATCGTTTCAGGCCAATTAAATGTAAGGGAATATGTAGGTCACTCAAGGGTAAACTCTAAAATAGGCCAAGCTAATAGGCCTAATAACGTCAGCAGTCGAGCAACACGCACGAGCTGAGCAGCCAGTTAACGTGCAGCGAAATAAATCAGTGATCGCCGATTACGGGATTTCATCAAATTCTGACAAAGTAATTAATAAAATGGAAAGCTGAAGTGAAAGGCAATATGGCTTACTAAATAATCTTAATTAAAGAAATAATTTGACTTGATCCTGACAAAGTCATGCAGCGTAACGGGCCAGTGCAAGGATCGAACTGTACATTGGGCTCACATTCAATGTCTCGGTACTATTTATTATATCATGAAGCCTTGTACAATGATGAGAACAATGTACTCACCGTGTGAGGAGTGTCTTGGCTATAGTGTCTCGGTGAACGGCGCACGGCTCTCAGAAGTATCACTATCACTTCACATTCAAGCTCTTAACCTCTGTACTGTCCTTGTATGTAATAAACTAACATCCACACCAAAAAGAATAAATTATTAATAGAAACAAATGGTCACGGGTGGTTACATCCTTATATTGTTCGCTACGGTTATATGGGTTTAAAAACCAGGGGAAATATTTATAAGAGCCAATCAACGAAGTTATCTCTTTTAAAGCCTACAAAATAATCTCGAGATTCTTGCAACCAATTGATATGAATACAATAATGCATAGTTGTGAATATTTTTAAAATTTTGTTGGTTTGCATGTCTAAAAACCTGAAGTTTAAGAAAATAATTCAAAAGGCCTTAAGTGACCAATCAGTAGCATATAGAATAACAAAATTGGTTACAAGTTAAGACTTGAGGCTCGTTCGTGTATCTTTATGCGCACAGGTTTCGATTCTTTTAACCAAATCGTAATAAAAAAAATAAAAAAAAACGCGCAGGTTTCCGTTCACAAACTCTACGGTGATCACATCAAATATTTAAGTATCTTCTGGCGCAATTATTATCATTTGGTAATGATAATTAATTACATTCAAACCATTAGCATTTCTGCAACAGCCATTATTTTAAATGCGCTCATTGTTCAATATTTTATAAGCGAACAGAAGTTAAAGGATTCCCGGATGTGACATATTTATCGACGAGACACAAGATCATGTGGATGAAAATTAATATGGAAAGTGAAACCAATTAATTTGAAAGATACGTTTAATTATAAATCAAATTAAATAATATTTTCGTTAACAAAGAAATGCAGCTGTTGGTCATAAAAATCAAAGCAGGCACAGTTAGGCAGAGTAATTATTTACGATGAGTGAAACGTTAACTTCTGTCGTCTATGTTTGCAATGGATGCCTTACTTTATATCTGGGTTGCATATAGCGTTTGCTTCTTTTGAACTCATATCCGAGGTACAGCTTAGGCAACAATCTGGTCAGGCTGATGAACGATCCTGGAGCTGCCACTTGAATGACGGTCAATCGCACGTTTAAGTTCCAATTAGAGTCGCTCTACTATTGTATGGGATAATGAAGATTATTGACAAATATTGAGCTTATTGCAATCGTAGAAATATATCAATACAAATAACACAGTCACAAAAATTTGCATGAAATGCAGAATCCTTGACATGACAAAGACACATGCTTCTTTTTGTTTTCTGTCAGAGACACCCTGCCGCACACCTCTGCTGCCGACGGCGCACCAGGCGCAACTGACCACAGCGCGACCTGAGTGGCACCTCCGAGCGTCTCTTGAGCGTCGCGGCAATTGGTTGCCTCGCCTTGCCCACGAACTGCCTTTATCGCCGCGCTGCACGCACGCTGGCTACATTGCATTTAAACCCAATATATATCCATGAAACGTTTTTATGGTATGATTCTACGTGCGTTTAAAAATGTATGACTTTGTTGAAAAAGGCATATTTAGACGTATTCACAGGCTTAATCTTATATTGCAAGCTCGAGTGAGCGCACTTTTTGACTAAAACGGAATAATAGTCGATTTTCGTTTATAAAATGTAACTTTTTCCGAGGTTTCAGTTAACTCATTTACGAACGTGTAATAAGGATGCGAACTAAAGCCCATCAATATATAATGCGTGAATAAGCAAATTGCACAATTATTTAGACGAGTTTTACAAATTCTAAATTTTCAGATACGGTATGAAATGTGCATATATTATATGCCTTGTATACTTTGCGCATAGTATAATAGAAATAAATTCATGTTACTTTAAAAATATAAGATTCATTTCTTACGCAGTATTGGAATCTTTTCATGCAAGCCTCTTTTAGAATAATATTAAAAAGGCAGAAAGTATTTAAAGGATTTAATCTAATTCATCGAGGCATATACATTCTTTACACTAAGATAACCGAATAATAGATGTTATTATTAGTTAAAGAGAATTAAAAGCAATTACTTTAGAGAAATTTCGCTGAGAACTGATCGTAAAATTCCCCATTTGTGAAGGCAATAACTACAGGTTTGGGCCGGAGTAGGGTCCCTACGAGTGTATCCTGAGAGTACCAGAGCTCTCAGCTATCAACAAACTAATGTTATCTATTATATGGTTAATGTTAATCTATTATATGGTATTTCAGCAGGTGTTTCATATCACTGCATATCACTGTTTCACAATTTATGTTTCAAAACTCAAATTATTTGTTTCAAAATAAGTGTAAATTGTGTGATTTCAGATGAGCGAAAACATAGGCGAATAACCCGCGAATTAATGCACATTTTGTGCTTTCAGACGCGCAAAAACATTTAAATAGCACCTGGCAATTTCAAAGCCGCAAGAATTAGTTAGACAAAATGGCACACAGATCAACGTTAGACAGGATATAGAGAATAACGTTTTCAAACTCCGTCTTTGTTCCGTCAATTAACGTTGCTTTATAACACCCAGGCAAAGAAATTAATTATAAGAAAGCCCTTTAAAGTAAACATTCACAAGGTCCCTAACGCCAAGGAAGGGACTTAGTGGCAAATGAAGGCAGACGTGCTCCACTCTTGCAGTCAGTCCTAACTTAAAATTTCCTTCACGATTGATAAGCACAAAAGATCATGGACGCATAAAAATGCACATAATAAACGGGTAGAAATGTAAAGGGGCGAGGCAAAGTGAACTTAACTTGCATGGGAAAAGAACAATATCCAACTGTCGACAGAGAGCTGCGGTTCCGCTTAGTGATTATGACTGATTCTTGAGCGTCTTTCTGAAGGAACCCTTGTCGATGAATTTTTCCTAGAGCAGAAGAGGAAATTTCCTTTAATTGACATACTTTTCTGTAATGATGGATTTGAAAATAAGAGTTGCTGCTGCTTGCTACACTTAAGGACACAAAAGCCAGCAGTCTTCCTCACGCCGCCGTGGTGGGAGGTTGTCACATATTGTTTTATCTTGATGCAGTGTTAGTGATTTTTTTGTGTGGATGGTCGAATCGTTTTGTTATTAATGTGCTATTGATACGTGCCAACATACTTGATAATTTCTCCTCTTGCGTTTCAAATTATTGTCTTATAGAAGAATTCATGGGTTTATTCGTCAGTTAAAGAAAGAAATCATATTTATGATATTTTTGAGGCATTGACTCTAGAGAATGTGTGCATCTTTTCAGAGTGCATGATCATTTTCATACTTTCCTTATACATTAAATTATTTATTTAATGTTAAGAACGTACAATTGCGCGGAACGATAACGATAAGGCAAATAGACGATGTTGAGATAATATACAAGAGACTATTCATCAACGACTAAAATGCTAAAATTTATAGGAGTGCAATTGTTTTCGATACCCACTAATTTTACATGAAATTTATATTTACGTGAATTTAAAAAGTTACTTAGACAAGTTATAATAACGCAGTGAAATTCCTGAAGATCGGCTGCCCCGATGCTCGTGTCTGTGACCGAGCGCTGTCTCGTCACGAGTCACTTATTCTCGAATTATGCTTCACAGTACTCGAAAATTTTAGTCAAAATCTTATTAATTAAACCTTCTTCCATTTTGAAATGCATTTCGTTGTGGAATTATGAAAGAAGGTAACTTTGGTAGCAAGGGGAATACATGACTGAAATTTGATTATAAAAATTGCACTAGGAGTTGCTGTGACGTATCAAGAAACCGATGTACAACAATTTATTTCCAGAAATTGGTAACTAATTGAATAATTTAATTCGTCGGCCCAATATCGTCGGCCTTCTACGGATACATCAGGGCCTTCTACGGATGCATCAGAGCCTTCTACTAACACATCAGAGCGCTTCTACTGATACATCTTAATTCGCCGGCACAATATCGTCGGTTGGTGACTTCGTTGACGTGGTGAGTGGCGACTTGCTCGCCACTCATCGGCTGGAGTGCTGGGCGTGGTGTTCGTAGCGCCCACTCTGCCCACGCACCGACGCGTGTCAGGCCATTAAAGCGAAGGCTTCCTTATAATAATTTAGATCATTCATAAGCACCTCATTTTCATTACCAGATAATTGAAATATATTCACAGCGCTTTATTATGCGTTGATAGCAGTTGAAATTGTTAAGAGTTATGTCTTTACAAGAAATATAATTTGCTATAATGAACACAATAGGAAATGAGGGTGAAGATATGCCGTTCATTTGAGCATAAGGATGAAATTAAGTAGTTCAACTGGATTATTATAGATTATAGAACCTATCACGAAAAATAAATAAACGCAGGACCAAATGCATCGTTACGAGCGCCCAAAGAAGCTGCTGATGGTGCTGAGCCCGGTGCTGACGCTCACGAGCGCAGTGCTCACGGGCGTAGCGCTGCTCGGGGGCTCCTGGCTTCTGACGGAGGAGCGTCTGGACATGAGAGCCCTCGGAGACCGTGCCGGCCCCCCTCAGTACGTGGTCAAGAAGACGCAGTCCGGTCTCTTCACACTCTGCCATACACAGCGTGAGTGAAGGTTTCATTAAGTATCTTCGCAGTCTAAATATTTACTTCAAATTTCTTGCTTAACGCCACCGAATCAGAGTACAGACCTACGTAGAATCTGAAATCTTGAAGAAATTTCTACAGCTTAGCTCAAGAATGCAATATCTTTGTAGTGGAATATTGGTTGTGGGTTGGATATTTATTTATTGACAACAAGTTGGTGATAATAATTTAATTGGAAATTTTAATTGTAATATGTCATTGTGAAACTGATTGAATATCTGAATCTACTGAAAAATGTATGTATCATCTTGCACTGGTTAGGCGTGAATACAGGAAGGTCAGGATCAAAGATTCTCAACTTTATTTTATTTTTCGCTGTTACCTAAAACTTTTTATGCCTACAGCTGGTTATGCCTGGAGCTTGCTGCGCCTTAATTTATTATGCTTATAGATTGTTATGCCTAAAGCTTATAGTGTCGTAAGCTTGTTATGCCTATAGCTCGTTATGCCTAAAGCAGTAAAGCTTATAATGCCGTAAGCTTGTTATGCCTATAGCTCGTTATGCCTAAAGCAGTAAAGCTTTTAATGTCGTAAGCTTGTTAT